AACTCTGTCTGCTAAGAAAATCTTGTGATATGACTGAAAGTTCCAGAAAACAAACAAACATCTATAGAGGTGAAGCTGTTTCCCCCCCAAAAAATAACATTACTTTATCTTTTATTTTTCTCCAGCAGTCTGGTGCATGATATCTCTCACCTCAGCAAGGGAAACAAGTATTGGTGCCAGCGACTTGACATATATCCATTATAGAGTGTACTGTTGCCGCTAATGGGATTTCTGAGGATGGAAATGGAAAGGAGGACAGGGAGAAGCTGCGAGAGGAACAGAACGGGAGGAGAAAAAAGAAGGCAGTGGATGTACGGTTAGATAGCTGCCGCTCTTGAATTCTTTACTCTCAGTATCGCTCGTATTATATTCACAGCATTTTAACATATTCACTGCTGAAGTGATTTTAAAGCTGAAAGTATCAACAAAATGCAAGAGAGCAGAGAGAAACTATCCAGAAGCAGCTGCCTACCATGCTTTATCACATGAAAAGCAATCATATAGGAAGACGTGTCTTGGTGAGGGAAGTAGCTAAATTAATTTTAATAGGCATTTCACATGGGAGCCCCCCCCGCAAAGCCTTACATTGAAAAACTGCTTTTTAAAACATTATATCTTTAGTACAGTAAGTGAGCTAACGTTTCGCTTACATTTAGACATTTAGTCTCAAAGCGCGGTAAATACACTTATATTGATGGCGAAGACTTCAGGACAAAAACTATCAAGGGGAAAGCAGATGAGACAAAGTTAGCGGCCATGATGGAATTACCCCATAACAGGAGGTCCAGTGAGACTGGGTTTTCTGAGTCCCAGTTCCTAGAGTGTGCCAAAGGCCACTGTAACTGCTCTGGAGGCACATGCAGAAAAAAACATCTGGGTAAAAAATGGTTTTTTCCTTGGCTCAAAATGGGCCTTTGGGGTGTGACTATTTATTTAAGCATAAGTGGTTCACTTACAGGAACTTAAAGGAAAGAGGCTGTATTACCTTAATTAAAAATGTTTATTTAACTGGAAATAGAAAGAACAAGACTAAAGTGGCAGAACTGAGCTTCCTCTGAAGGGTGTCTGTGCTCAGTCTTAGAGATGGGATGAGGAGCCTAGTCATTGGCAACAGGCTCAGAGCAGAGTCGCTGCTCCTTTGCATTGAAAGGAACCAGTCGGGGTGGTTCAGGTGATGGAGACTCGTGGGCAGACCCTGGAGAGTTAATGTCTCACAGCTGGCTCGGAAACATCTCTCCTCCTTGGGCGAGCTGAAATCTTTGCTTAGACAGCTGCCACCATGACCTGGACTCAAATGAGCAGTGGAAAATTGGATGGCTGGATGTTTGAGTAAATAGAAGCCCAAAATGTTCAGTATGCAGGATTAACCCTCATCTCTCAACTCAGTCTGAATTTAGTCTCTGCAGAATAAAAGTTCTGACCAGGATATGAACTCAAATGCAGGTGCATCATACCCGCTTTCCTTTTATTTGTTCTTAAAATCTTAATATCCCAAGACAGCTGGCCAACCACGCCACTATTTTTTTTTTAAAACAAAGATAAGGCTCTCCACTCAGCCTGTGTGCTTTCACTAATTATATTTGTCTTTTATTTTAGTCTCTGAGCCGCTGCTGTATAAATGGAATAGATTTTAATTTCTGTGAAATTTTGTTTTAATTTATTTGTTTGTCTCAAGCGCTCGCTGCATCATTTTAAATTACATTCTTCCTTTTTACTGCCTCCTGCTTAATTTATCTGTTTTCTTCATCCACATGGAACAACAAATGACACCAGAAATGCTTCAAGTCCCAGACAAAAAATGTAAGTTTGAGAGTGAAAGTGTAGCAAATGTCATACCACTTTATTTGGGTGAAATAAAGAAGAGATTTTGTAATAAGTTTCAGTTATTTCTTTCAGTGACCACTTACAAAATTATGTTTTTTTACCAGATTTAGCTGCTAGCTAATTTGTCAATTATGGAAAAATGAGCCGCATCTGCCTCAATATCTGACCTTACTGAGCTTTTTTCTGATTAGATTTTGGCTTTAGTCACTAGTTTTAAATGTTATTAAGTGGAACATCATATTCTTTGTGTAAATTATGCTCTGATTTAGAGTAAAACATAACTGATTAAGTCCCTAGATAGATTAAACTGCTATCCTTGTTTTTTAGTCATATCCACCCCCAAAAAACAAAAAACTACACATGCCTTTACAAGTTGTCTGTGAAGGTTCTCAGTCATCCAGGTCATCACAGTCCAAGGAGCTCATCCGAGAAGCTACTTCAGTTCTACGGTCAAATGGTGGAGAATCCCAGATTTGACCTCAGGAAATCACATGATAGGGGTGTGGCTATGTTTCACAATGAGCTCACCTGAAACCCTGGCTGATTGTGACCCATACCTGTTTTCACACCTTGGCTCGTGTGATTAGGTAGAGGATCATTAGGGAGTCCATTGTCCCTCTTGGGGGACACTTCCACAGGGCTTAAATCAGGGACTCACCACCATTTGACCCTAGAACTGAAGAAGGTTCTCGGATGAGAGGTGAAACGTCTTCAAGCCATTTAAAGAAGTCCAGACACTTTTCTTTCGAAGCTCCTTAGAATGCCTTTTCAAGCTGACCAATGAAGTTATTGTCACTATTTCCATCTTTTACATACAGTTTAGAATAAAATTTGACTTCTCCAGTCTTTACTTTCTCAGACACCCCCTATTTGTTTACTGGGACCTTGTTCTGGACCGACATGAGAACAAAGCATACATAAAAACAAAACACAAAATACCGAAGGGAAGAATATAAAACCACTGTTCTGCTCTATTAGTAGTCTGCACAGCAACAAAATCCTTGTGTGAATGGTGAATTGTGTCCTCAAAAGTACTGCATGTTGCATGGAAGAAAAGAGTCCTTATCTCTTTCTATTTCAAAAGATACGGAAATTCATATCAGACACCCTGGCTTACAACCATCACATGTCTTGAAAAGAGGACCTCATACACAAGCAACAAACAAGCAATTTAGAGAGCGGACCTGGGGAATTTCATGTGACCGTGCACAGCCCTACTTACTGGCACACTGACACCACTGCTCTTACGGCACAAACATTTCCACCTCGCTCTCAAAGTTTCCTCTGCTGAGCTGTGCCCATTCAAGGGGACCTTTAATGGACTTGTGCCGGCTTTCTGTCAGCGAGGTTAACTGAGTCAGCAACTGCTCAACTTGAGCCAGCAATACTATCTTGGCTTAAGCAATGATTCACACATGCCTAACAGCAGCCAGCATCACATTGCCAGTGGATTCACTCATTCACAACTAAGCACATTATTCAGAACATGACTCACTAATTGATAGAATCCTCAGTAGGCGTTGCTGCTTTTCCTTCAAGTTTATGCTCATCTATATAAATTTGTCATCATAGGATAAAACGCGTTGCTCTGGCCAAAGCTAATTTTACATATTCTGATAAAATGTGCATGTGAAGAACAATTTTACAGACTCAACATGCAGTTTAATTCATCATTAAATCAGACTGCAGTGTTTTCATTCATATGATACATAAAAAAAAATGTGTGTATTTCAAGTGAAACCACTGGCCCAGGGCGTTAAAGCTGATTATTGCAGGAGAATGATTTTTCACTGCTTCCATTGAGAGAGTTAATATGGCATTTTTAGACCTTGCATGTGCGCAGGTCTATAATTCACGTTCATTCAGTGGACTGGTATCCTCACAAATAGCAGTGCACGCTCTAAGCACCAATACTGGTCTCCACATCATGGCTAATGAAGTGCCTGACCTTTTCCAAATGAAGACACCCACTCAGCAGCTTAAACACCAAACGATAATCCCAATTATGTCTGATAATTATGCCAAGCACTTTTACTTTTCAGTCAGTGGAAGGGAATACACTGGACATGATGTATATAACATGATGCCAAAGCTGAAAGAGGAGCGTTTTTAATGCAGCATTTATGCGTCGGAAACTAGCCCTCGATGACCAGAATCATTCAAATGAATAGCTATTTCTATCTATTCGCTGTCAGTCAACATGACTGTTAGTCCGGCCATTCTCCTTTGAGCTCCTCCGAGCTCAGACACACGGCTGCTTCTGAGGATAGAGACGTCACTCAAATCTCACGTTTAATGTGGATTCTCTGTAACGTCAGCATGCTAACGTGTTCACAATGACAACTTGCTGAGGCAGATACTTTTTATCACAGTATGGCTAACAAGCAGTGTAGCTATACAGCACAGTGAGGTTGATGTGAATAGGTTTAGTACTGTTACAGTCCCTCAACGTAGTATTAAATGATTCTCTTAAAGCTACAGAAAGTACTCCTAATAACATTTAACAGAAAAAAAAGTGTTAAAAAAAGGAAACGGCCATCAAGATGATGTGTGATTCAGTGATTTCATTTTCTGCTTTGTTGAGCATGCCTCGTAGCAACTGCATTACAGTAACTACCTATGACAATTTGGCCAATGCATTCTATGGCTTTTGACATTTATTTAAACATTACGTAACGAAAGGTCAAAGCTGTCGAGATTTCTTTTGCTTCTTGTTAAACACACCTAATTTTTAATAAACTGTAATTTAAAAAAGGCCTTGTGGCCAAATGCTGTGTTCATTTTCTTGAGAGATGGTGCCGTGCTTGTGATGAAATCATTTTTTTGCGCTTCTCACATTTTCATTACGCAGTTTTTGTAACTCCTTTGAAATAAAAGATCCGCTGGTAATTACTGCATCCCAGCTACTGGATGCAGATTAAAATATTGATGAGAGTAATAAGGAAACATGAAATCTATGCTGCTGCATATAAAACGTTAAAATTCATGTGGAATTGCATTTTCAGCTTTATATTTGCTGTTGCTGAATCTCATATGCATGCTTACAGATAGCCGTGTAACCTCTTGAATATTTTAAATCCAAACACGGCTGCTTGCGCATGTGTTCAGTGTGCTGGTATCAGAACTCCTCTGTTGTGTGTGTTTGTGTGTAGGCACCATAAGGTAAATGTACATACCAGCAGGACAGTCGCCTTCTGACACAATAAGCACTTCAGACTGCTGCTTGCAGGCATCCCTGCGCAGGAAGCACTCGTTCTGGTAGTTCTTATTGTTGGAGCCACACACAGGCACATAGTCATTGTTGCACTGCAGAGAGGAGAGAAGAAAACAGGTAAGAAAAGGAGCATGTAAAAGAGACAAGGTTAAACTATAGTGAGTCTGTGTCCTCAAGTAAACACTTGAGCCTTCAGAATTCTGCAGGGAAGCCACTGCCTTCAATTTCCAATTTGAATACGCTTCAATCTCAGCACTGAAAAGAATGACATGTATGGAAACGCCACCAAATACATAACCCGCTTGGCAGAGCAATAAAATACCAGAACTTTAAAGCAACAGCTGATGCCTACATCGCTCACATTGCACATTTATGGAGCGACCAACAACACTGAGCAGACCACTGCTGAACAGCACAAACAGGAAAAAAGATCTTCAAAAAGCCTGATGATCAAGTTGGAATACTTTTCTTTAATTCCAGCGTTCTCCTTTGTTAAACTCACTAAGTTCTTCAGTATTTCGGTTAAGGGGTTTTGGCGCACCTATATACTGAAAGCTTCTTGTACAAGGACAAACCATAGCAGGTTCATTGTTAGCTAAGAAATGAAATTGAGATTTCCATGAAAACAGTGCAAATCTCCACTTTGTTCTTACCCAACGTGGTACAGTCAGATAATATTATAAGAATCTTCTGCTTCCTGTTCGAAATTATAAGCAGATTACAAATTGGCCACACCAGCTTGAGAAACTAGCCATTGTTACCAATGTCAAGTTAAAGAGACAGTGGAGTACGCTCTGACGTATGTAAGGATACATGAATAAAAATGAATGGTTATCCAGGTTGTTGAAAGAAGCTGGCGTATTTAAAAGAGTGTGACTCAATTGGAAAAAAACAGTATTCATTGTTATTACTTGAAGAAAGTGAAAAAATTGAGAAAACGTCAAACAGCACAGAACTAGTGCCCTCAAGAGTTTAAGTAACAGAAACATCTTGACATCCCCTGCTCCTCAACACTGGTTTTCTGTCAGTGTGCCCATTTTTCAGCAGGGCTGTTCTCCAAAACATCCACATCTGCTTAAGCCGAGTAGCAAAGTGCGGCGTCAAATGCACGTAAGATAAACTCAAGTGAGATGGGTGGAAGGAAGAAAAAACCCTGCCCAGAAGAACTCAGCAGGGGTGAATTCATAGTATGTACAGCATGTTAACCAGCTAAACTGCTTAGGATAGAGTGTATTCACAAAGCTAAAAAAAACTCATTTTCAGTGTAACATTTCTATACTCCTTCACCATTGCTAGAATTACGATTAAGCACCAGAAACCTAACCATGCAGTACCCTTTTTAAGGGAAATTAACCCTAATTAACCTTAAATATATCTGCCTCACATTAGCGAGATCATACGGTGTTTGAAGTTCTTTAAGACTGCCTGATGAAGATATACCAGTGCTGATTCTAACCGTGATACCTGAAAAAATTAAAGTTGGCACATTATAGCGGATTATAGGATATTACCGAACAAGCACCAGTCTAGTCACAGCTATAGTCACATGTTCCAGTTTACTGTGACTCACTTCCCTTTCATTAACTACTAAACTGCTCTCACTTCACGGGTGACTAAAGAAAGGTAACGTCATTCACTTTCCTGTTGCCGTGGTGACTTCATTCGTTCACTTTGAGACAACACAAACCCCAAAGTCAGCTGAGATCCTCACACTCATGCTTTTTTATATAAAAGTTAATATGCTGCACAGTCCTTAATGTCCTTTTTATACTTTTTACTCTGATTTGAATGATCCATCTGTGGCTGCCACCAACACCACCTTGCACCTACCCCATTCACACCCCTGCATTAAACCTCAAGATTAACAAAACATGGTAACAAATAAGGCTAAGAATGACTTTGTCTCGTTGACTAGCTTTTGTATTATTAGGTATTCTTTCTGCCATGATCATCGTCTATTGAAAATCTGAAACTGCCCTTGAATCAAAGCATATTATGCTTTGTTCACACTTTGTCCAACAGGAAAAAATGCAAATGGTAATTTACCAGCGTAGAAAAGGAGTAGGTGAGCTAAAATCTTATCACACATCGCACATCTGGCAGATTGTCATTCTACAAACTAATTCAAAAATCGGTCAAACCTCAGTCCAGCGTAGGTGTTAAAAAACAAGAAGCGAAAAGAAAGAATAGCTTGGCACGTCCTCCACTGAATTGTGTTTAATTATGAGCGGATGCACACATCAAATCAGTACAAGTCTAAAAACAACTAGCACCATGGATTTTGTTAATAGATTATATTCACACTGCAGACTTCTGAAAAGCTGCACACCTCTTGTTGCTCCACTGGAGCAGTAGGAGGTTAAGTGACTTGCTCAAGGGCACTCAGCAAAATAGCTACTACGGTACATGAGAACATTACTCATTCATTTTCCTCACATGGTTTGTTGGCTATGGAGTAAGTCAAGATTTTTCAGATGACTGATGGCACTGGAGGGTCGAGTCTTAGTTTTCATTTTTTTGGCTGTAGAGGAGAGATATGCATTTGATTTGAAATCGATTCACTGCTGCCGCACTGTAGGAATAACAAACGTGATTATTCAATTGAGAAATATTACCCACTATTCCCTGGGAAGAAGGAACAGCTATCAGAAGGTCCAGAGAAATTGTTGCTCGGTAGTCACAGCCCGTAACCTGATTAAATATAAAAGTGCTGAAAAATGGGGAACGTGTGAAAATGTGTTCCTGCTGGGTGTGACATCGCAAGGACAAGAGGCTCACTGGATATTCCCCACAGGGATGAAGCTAAGGAGCTCACGGCTCTTTGTCTCCACTTCTTTTTTTTTACTCTAAGTCTCTAATGGATTGCTCTGAAATCTGTTTTCTCATAGCTAAATCATCTCTGTGCCCTCACGGATCGCTGCATGGTTTTCACAAATGGACATATTGTAGACGCAGACAGGCATTAACAACATATTCAAGTACGTCTGTGTTTATGGTCACATGTCAAGCCAACTTTGTAAAAGCTTAGTGTTGGAGAAAAATAATATTTTTATCCTCTTCCTTCCTTCCAGTAAAAAAAACCCCATTTAGTCTAATATTGGTTGAAGCAAGACACTTGAAGCTCTGACTTTTTCACTCGTTCCTCTTCACACCTGTCCATTAGCACAATATTTTTCCGCTGCTAGTTACAGTGGTTCGCTTTAGCAGGTGGTTAACAAAAAAGGGGTCAACAGCAAGATGACACTTGTTATATGCTCCATTGCATATTCTAATTTTTAGAAGGAGTAGGTCTTCGAGATCTGGAAAACAGCAAACCGCAGGCGAGAAAAAGCCATATTTTTCCACTTTTCCATATCAGGGTTATGGCGGTGCCTGTCCCAGTTGTTACAGGGCAGGAGACAGGGTCCACCCTGGATAGGTCAACAAGCCATCGCAAGGCTAACACATGGAGACCGACAACTATTTACAGCCAATTTAACTAACTTGCATGTTTTTGGACTGCAGGAGGAAGCCAGACACTCTGGGACAACATGCAAACTACATATTGAATTGCTCGGCCTGGATACAAAGCTAGCTAGTGCTACTGCTGACTAGCTATGTTAGCTAGGTGCATCCCTAGATTGGGGCAACTGTGGCTCAAGGAGCAGAGTACTCTACTAGTTGGAAGTTTGGTGGTTTCTTTCAGCCCACATACTGAAGTGAAAGAAAACCCCAAATTCCTGCTGATGCAACTATTGTGTGAGTGTGGCAGAATAAGAGAATAGTATAAATGTATATTTGTGAATGGGTGAATGTGACTAGCATTTAAAATGTCTCTGAATGTTCAGTTAGAGGAGAAAAGTGTCATATAAGTACCACATCATTTACCATGTGTGCATCATCTGAGTGCATACTTCTTGGATAGTCTCTCAGTACAATAAATTATGTGTCATTATACATCAGATCATTACATTGGAAATGATTCAAAACAACACAAATATAAATAAAAAGGCCCTGCTAGCAGGTTAAGCATCAAAGACTGATCGAAAACAGGCATTCCTTTAGAAAACTATAACTCTGAACCTTATAGTGTTTTTTTAAATCAGTTGTCATGATCAATGAAATTATTTTTGTATGAGGTTACATGATGTTCAGTTCTCCTGTAAAGTTGAGATACTTGTGAGTTAACACAAGCATCTCACTTCTGAAGCCAGCCTCAAGTGGCCATTTCTGGAAATGCGACTGGATTAATTTTCCTCTTTATTGCTTAGTACAGCATCAGTAGAACGAGGTCTGAACATTGTCAGAACTTGTGCTTTATTATATTTAGCGCACAACAGGACACTCTTCATGTCGCCTGTGTACTCAACTAGAGAGAAACTCCCATTAGCTTAGGTAAGGGGCGGTGATTATGCTCACTGGGAATTCCCCAGACAATTGCCTCCATGGATTTTATGCAGACTTTGTACTAAGAAACTGGCACAAGAGTAGAGTAAAGTAGAGTGTGAGATCTGATTTAGCTGATTCTCTCTACCTTGCAGTGTTTGGAGCTTTAACTTAACTTAGCATTTTTGACGCCCTTCAGCTTCATCTGACCCACCCGGGCAAATATTAACCAATCAAACCTGCATTCTAGTAGCTACAGGCTAAGATGATGTTCACACTTAATCAGGCATGTGAGTTGGTTGAAAATGGCTGCCAAAGTGAATTGATTTTGAAATACCATAATCGACTTTTAAAACAGTATGAACCAGAAAAAGTGACCTTGTTCAAAAGCTTTTAGACTTTAGACTAACAACATTAGTGGCCTCTGTACTGAAAACATGCTAAAGATGAGCAGAGAGAGCACCCAGGAGAGAAACTTGGCTGCCCCACGCTTTACCACATGTATGAGTTTAGCTGTTTGGGGACAAAGCAGAAAGGATTCAGCGAGTCTGTTATTTAGGGGGCTTAATTGTGAAAGGCCTGAAAGGACCAGAAAAACAGCACGAGGGCATAAACTGCATTTCAGATTAAGCTAACTAAGTGTGAAGGACAATTGATACACACATACCAATCTGATACCCACAAGGAAAAGAGCAAAAAATAACCATCCATTCAGGAAACCAGAAGG